ACAAGTGAGGCCAAGACTAGCTGTTTCAGCCTCTCCTGGGAGGGCTGCTCAGCCCACTCAGCCTCAGATGAGGATTCTGGGGGGAAGGGGCTGTGCCTGTACCCAGGACCATGGCTGGGAGCAGAGAAGGTTGGCTCCTGTGGGATCATGACAGTCACAAGTGGACAAAAGAGCAGGAGAGATGAAAGAAGGGACAGAGAAAGGTGAGGAACTTCTAGCCCTTTCTTGCCATCTGAGGATGGTAGGGAGGTTCCCAGAAAGACAGACAAGGAGATAACATTCCATTACTTGGAATTACCAGCTATAAGGATTTACACGAAGCCATGTTAACACTGACTCCCCTGAAAACGTAGAAGTGCCCCTTCCACCCCCGACACAAAAAAGGAGACTTTCCCTAGGCTCCTTCTCCCTTGAAAGAGCCCTGGTTATGGAATCAGAAGATCCAAATTCAAATTTCATTTCCACACCTGAAGGACCTTGGGCAAATCCCTCCTTGTCTCTGGGCTTCACTTTCCTCCTCCAAAGATTCCTTCTGGCTCTAAGTCTCTGGATCCACCATCCTTAGGTCCCATATTTACTCTCAGTGCTTGAAGGGACTTTCCTACTTTCTGGTCAGCCTTATTCTATCCCAGAGCCTGGCCCTGACAGCCTGGTGGAGCTTGGTTCTCCCTATTAACCTTTGCAGTTCTTCCTTCCCAGCCCCCTAGCTCACCTGGTTTCTGTTCCTGCCCACTGGCGTGCCTGATACATCACCAGCCAGCATGGGCATATGTGTTTAGAAGCAGTCACTCCAGAGAGAAGAGCATGGTTTTTCAACATTGACTATGAATCGGTATCCACTTCTGTTGTAGAAGGCAAGGCTGGGCATTAACAAGGACAGGGCTAGCCTATTTGTTCAAGAGAAAGACAGCAGGTCCTTCCATCAGGCAGACTTCCATGTGCCCATATTCCAACCTCAAATAATAAGACTTTATTCACCCAGTACTGTTTGAAAGAGGAAAAAATCCCATTCAAAGTATATAACTAAAAGGTTATTAGTTATTAACAACTCGAGTTCTTATTTCACAAGAGGGAAAACTGAAAGACAAAAAGTTGAGTGATTTGCCCAAGATCCCCTAGGGACTTAGTGGTCAGGCCAAGGTGAGTCCTTGAAGCCAAGGACAGAGAGGGAAGCAGGAGGAGGTCACGATCTTCAGAGGACGTTGGTCTTCATTGGAAGATCCATCCCAAGGAGGACCAGTGAATCAGTCCCAGAGAGCTCAGTTCCACTGGATGCCTTGAATCCAGCTCCAGACCTCACCCTGGCTTGAGGGGAGTGTTGTTCTCATCTCTTTCCTCCCCATCCCCTCTTGCTTCTGGGAGGGCCAGGAGGAGCAGCTGGAGGCAAGCTGTACTCTTCCGAGGGTGGGTTAGAACATCTCAAGCATCACACCTTCCCAAGGGCTGACACAGATATTGGTAGTGCCAGGATGGGGATGTGGCTGTATCCTTTACCCAGGTGAGCGTGGTTGAAATAAAGGAGGAGGTAGAGAGTGAACCGTAGCTGGTGCTGGCTGCTTTGCGTCCCTTGGCAACCCTTCAGCCTTGTCCCCTGGCCCACAGAGCTGTGGCAGAGGGTTACGCCCTCTTCATTTGTCATCACACAATAAATATAGTCACCACTTAGGGGTAGGAGTGAGGGGGAGGGAGCAAAAAAAGGATGACAACAAAGAGCTGGCACTTTGTTCTTAATACTTGGTGGCTGTGGATTTGAATATTGTGTCAGATAGGTGAGTTCACTGGGGCAGGGGCTAAGAATGATCTGGGCTTCCTGGGAGCTCTTTGTGACCAGGTGCCCAAGGACACAGTGATGGACGAGTGTGTCTGAGGAACTTGCCTTGATGTGCTCAACAGAAGCACTCCTAGAGAGTGGGATTAGTTAACTAATTGTCCATGAGGAGGATATAACTCAAAACCTACCTTCTCTCTACTTGGTTACAGCCTACCTCTAGTTTCTGTACACTCCTGTATTTTATATTTTTTTCGTCTTTTGACCTGGACCTGTGATTTTATAGTAGGGCTTAATTATTTAAGTTTCATTTTGTAGCAGTGCTTAATAAGTGCATGCAGAATGTGGGGTGGGGGGGAAATATCATCTGAGTGGGGAACTACTGGTATGGAAACTCTCTCCACTGAGTTATCCAGGGCATTGAAAAGTTAAATGATTTACATGTGGTCACACAGTCACCACTAGAACCCAGGTCTTCTAGACTCTGAGGTTGGCCCTCTGTCAGCTATGTTATACTGCCTCTTATATGGCCCTGGTCACTGACAGGCAAAATTGGTATGCAATACAGTCCTCAGACCCTTGTCCCATCCAGTTAATAAACAGAACAAGTAATTACACACTGTGCATTGTACATGATTCTTTTTGACCACAGAAGAAGGGGCTGGCTGAGGAAGGGGCTCTAAGGAGAAGCCTGAGGTCTGCAGAGCAGGTAGGGTGTTGCTTATTATCACTATGGGCCAGTAATACACTTCCCCTCTCTCCCAAACCCATTACACTCCCACAGGCTGAGCAGAAAGTAAAGGGTCAGGCAGAGGCAATAATGGGCAAGCCTCTTTTCCCTTAGGAAATGAGAGTGGCTGGTGACATTTCCTAATCAGAGCTCAGGTGTCACTTACAGCTGCAAACAGCACCTCGTCCTCTGGCCCCTCACTTTCTGACACCATGCCAGTGACAGGCTCTTAACACATCTGAAGACACCCCTACCTGATTGATCCTGAGGCCTTCTTATTGAAGGAGTGCCTCCAGACACATCTGCTGAGATCGTGATTAGATATAAATATATGACAGCCTCCGGCTCCCTCCCTCTCTGACGGGTAACTAGGCACCGCACAGAGAACACAAGGCCCCAGCTCTCTGGAGTTTGGCCATCCAGCAGCCCGCTGGGGAATAGACCAATGCCCTTGGTGGACGGGAGGCTCCCCCAATTGTCAATCAAGGCTGGTGCTTCCTCGTGGGCTGTCCAGCTATGGAGGAAATTCCCCCAAGCCTGGTAAGGATCAACCAGGACAATGAGATTTAGGTGACCTTATTGATGGTGCTCAGAGCAGTGTGGATAGAAATGGAATGGATGGAGAGCCAGCCTTAGAATCAGGCGTACATCAACTCTGTAATCCTGGGCAAGTCACATCCCTTCTGAGTCTCCCAGGCAACTCTCTTAAGACCATGAGTGACAGAGCCAGTGCTTTTCTGCATTGGTAGAGGGAGTTTGCCCTCTGGAAGTTCCTTATACCAGTAAAATCAGAGGTCTAGTTTCTTTTTATAATGGCCAATGTAGGATCTAGGGTGAATGTGCCCTAGGGTAGGAGCATCTCAACATCCATCCCAGACCTCAAATTCTATGGCCCTCAGTTCAGGGAACATTTTGTATTAAATGATCCTCCCATTCCCCAAATAATGACCTTGATCCAACCCCACCCCCATCTACAAGGCCCCATCCAGTTCGGAAACATCATTTTAGAAGGATGTCAATATATTAGAATATGCCTGAAGGAGGGTGCTAGGATGGTGAGGAATCAGAGCCCTTTGCATGAGAGGACTAGTTGAGGGAACTGAGAAATGTTGAGCCTGGAGAGGAAGAAGCCAAGGAGAGAAGTCTCATTTTCAGATACTGGAAGAGGAAGCAGATTTGTTCTGTGTGACTGGAGAGCAGAAGTAGGAGCAGTGGGTGGGAGGCACAGGGAGGCTGGTCTCAGCTCAGTAGAAAGAAGGATGTTCAGCCCATCCTGGCTGCTGACCCAGTCACAGAGCTGACCAACACTGAAACAGGCTGACTCAGGAAGAACCAAGTTCCCCATCACTGGGAGGAATCACACGGCAGCCAAATAATCTGACAGAGGACAGGGCTTCTCCATTGGATGGGAGATGGGCCACGTTACCTCTGACTCTTAAGGCTCTATTGGAACCCAGAGCCCTGAGAAGTGTTGGGTTATAACTGAGGAAGCATGGTCTTTGAACCCTCTCTGTCAGCCTTATGGGGACACCTTTCAAGGTCTCAGGGGAGCATTCTTCTGTCACCCTCAGAGACCCTGGAGCAAGACCATTCTATTGGGAAAAACAATACGTATGTGGGGTAGTGAATGGAGGGCTGACTTCATTACTAAAACAACCCAGGTTCAAATTCTGCACCTTCAACACACTGTTGTTATTCAGTCTTTTTCAGTCATGTCCAACTTTTCAAGACCCCTTTGGGATTTTCTTGGCAAAGATACTGGAGTGGTTTGCCATTTCCTTTTCCAGCCCATTTTACTGATGAGGAAATTGAGGGAAATAGGGTTAAGTGACTTGCCCAGGGTCACATAGCTAGTAAGTGTCTGAGCTGGATTTGAATTCAGGTTTTCCTGACTTCCAGCTCAGCGCTCTCTCCACTGTACCACCTGTTTTGGCTGACTGACCCTGAGGAAGAACAACTTAACCTCTCAGTACTCTAGGCAACAAAGGCTAAAAACTTCAGGGAAGGTGATGACTTGCATTGGTGAAGGGAGTCTCCAAATCTGGGAGTGAACTCACAGGTGTGGTCCCTGCCCCCTATAAGTAAGTCCAGGATATACACAAGGTAGGTACAGAGTGACAGGGAGGCAAGAGGGAGAGCAATCAGGAGGAGCTTAAGGTGGGATATGGCAGGAGCTGAGCTTTGAAGAATCATCCTAGATAGGAGGGAGAGCCTGTGCAAAGTCCCGGAGGTGGGAAACACAGTATGGGTGACTCCAAGCACACCAATTTGGCTGGAACAAAGAGGGTGCAAAGGGGACTCATGGGTAAAAATAGCCTGGAAATGGAGGCTGGGATCCAACAGTGAAGGGCTTTAGATGACAGGCAGTGGAGTTGTTATTTAATCCTGTATACAATAGGGAAAAGGAAGAAGCATTTATTAAGTGCCTACTGTATACCAGGAGGGCACTGTGCTAAGTGCTTTGCAGATATTATTTCATTTGATTTCTGAATGGGAAGCCACTTCAGCCTTTTGGAGAGAAAGAATGGCCTGATCAGTCTGCCCTTTAGGAAAGTCAATCTTTCAGCTGTGGAGAGGATGAGCAGAGAAGGAAGAAAGGTCTCAGGTCTCATTTTCTTTCATGAAGAAAAAGGCATTTAAGCATTGTACACTGAGGTAAAAGGAGAAGACAGAGTATTCCTTTTATTCTCTCTGACTTAGAAACTTGGAGCATGTGCCCTCAGCCAAGAGACCAGAGTCCTATGGAACAGAGTTCAGCCATCCTCCAGCATTCTTGTAGGAAGGGAAGGTGCAGCAACAGCAGAGGGTCTTCTCAGGCCATCAGGGAGACCACTCCATCACCCCTTATCCATCCACCCTGGAGTCACCAGGAGTAAGAATGTAACAACAGGCTCTTTATTGATGGTCCAGAGGACCCGCTTTGCCTTTCATCTGGATGTCCCTACATGCGAAAGAGGCTCCAGCTAGAGGTATCCCCTCCCAGGCCCACCAACCCCTCCACCAGAACCCATCCCTTTATAACTTCTCCTTCCTCCTTCAATCAAGCCATCCCCACCAGCTGCAGACTGCCAGCTCCCCTCTCCTTCCCCCAGGTACAGAGAGGGATTCCTACTGATTAGTACTCCAGCTGCACAACAAGATAGATCCCGGCATTACTGGCATAATTACCTCCCCTCTGGGAAGCTCATCCTCTTCCCTTCCCAGTGTTATTCATTACATCCATGGCCTTGCCTGTTGCTGGGCCAGGAAGAGATGGCAGAAGACAAGAGACCAGTTGGGAACTTATACTTTAAACCAGACTCTTCCTTTACACAGGGAGTCCTGGCTTCTAGTATACATAGCAGTCTGTGCCCATTGGTCAGGAAAGTTCGGTGCCCAAAGAGCCAAAGGGCACCACTTCCCGCAGCCTGGGAGCTCCATCTCTCCTGCAGTGGTGGAAGTGAGCTGATGAGTGTAATAGGGGTGTGAGGAGGGCATCCTAGGATCACTGAGTCTAGGACAGGAGGAACAAGGAGACCTCATTTACCCTCCTAGGAGATAATTCATTTGTACCAGCCCCCCACTCATCCTTATCCCCTGCCCAGACCAGTCTTGAGAATTAAAGTAGAGTCCTTTGTGGAGAAGAGCTTGCCTGGGAATCCTTAGCTTTGGGACTCTGACAGTTTTGACCTTGGTTGGAAGAAACCGCTGAGCTAAACAATGACTTTGGACTGTTTCAGAACTTTCTCTGGAGCTAGGAAGGAGGCAGCCTGGAAGGATGGGTAGAATGCTGTGTCTTCAACATCCAAAAGATGGTTTTTCAAAGGAAGTCAGGAAGCCTGGAATGGGCTTTTCAGAAAACATTGCTCCTTCACCAAAGGGCTCTCCAAGGGAAATCCTTGCTTTGCTTTCTGAGTACATCCCGCTAACCTGGATACAATTCTCCAGTTTGTCCCTGGGTAGACTTTCCAGTGAGAAGCAAATGACCACATCCAAGATCTGTATCTGGGGTGGAATGGTAGAGTCTAAGGACCTTTAGCTTTTTTTGTACTTTTTCTAAGGGCAGAAGGGTTGAGTTGGGGCTAAGTGGGGTCACAGTGGAGGTGGGCTGCCCAGTAGACCAGGTTGCCCCACCCGCACTTGACCACCATCACATGTGGGACAGGGACAAGCTAACCTCCATTCCCTCACTATACCTCATCACATCTTGGTTGATTCCATTAGGCTCCAATCTCGATCAGGTAGGGGCTGGTGGATGGCCGGCCTAGGGTGCTGAGAGCCAGGTCGGCCACGGCGGAAGCTGTGGATAGACTGGCGCAGGGAGCCAAGACGCTTCCAGAAGCGGAGCTGGGGCTCACTGGGTGTCTCTGGGTGGTAGGGCATGCATTCATGAGGGCTGTGACGGGAGGGGTCCATGGCTGCCGGCTTGCAGAGGGTGACAAAAAGTAGAAAAGTTGCCAGCAAAAGGAAGATGCAGGCCAGAGCAATGATGATGGACAAGGGCTGCGGAATCTCCCCTGGCGGCAAAGGGCTGGGTGGAGCAAGGTCAACAGAGGTCGAGTTGGTCAAGAAAGCCGGGCTGAGAGTTAGGGAGCTCTCGTGGGCAGGTTCCTCAGTGCTCATCTCTCCTGTAATCCATATATAATGGAAGGACTCAGAAACCAACCTTGACACAACAGTCCTATGGGGTAGATACTCTAGTCATTGTCTCTCTCCAATTTACAAATCAGGAAGTTAAATTACAGTGGTTAAGTGACTTGTCAAAGGTCACACAGCCATAAAGTTTCAGGCCCAACATTATCCACTCTCCTGCCACATCTCTCTAAAGCTCCAGGAAAGAGAGCTGGACGTGGGGTGAAGAGGACAGAATCCGGGCTTTTTAATCAGTTCTTGTGGCCCAAAAGATGAAGTCCTATGCTAGAAGTCCTGGGATCTGGGTTCTTGCCTAACTAGCGACATTGTATGATCTGAAATGTCATTATACCTCTCAAAATCTCAGCTTTCTCCTCTACAAAATGAGAAGAATCATCTCTCCTTCTCTATTTCCCTTTCTTCCTCCCTCCTTCTCTTCCTCCCTCCCTCCCTTCCTCTCTTCTTCCTTCCTTCCTTTCCTTGCTCCCTCCCCCTTCCTCCTTCCCTTTCTCCCTCCCTCTCTTCCACTCTTCTTCCCTCCTGTCCTCCCTTCCTCTCTTCCTTCCTTCTTTCTGTCCTTCCTTTCTCCCTCCCTTCCTCCCTCCTTCCCTTCTTCCTTTCCTCCTCCCTCTCTCCATTCCCTCCTTTCTGTCTTTCTTTCCTCCCTTCCTTTCTTCCTTTCATAACAAGGATTTGGGGGGTACATTTTAGGTTTTTCTTTCTTTCTTTTGGCCCATACTTTTATTGGTATGAGGAACTCCTGGTGTGGAAACTCCTTCCAATGCAGACACTGACTGCTGACTGCTAATTCATCATCTCAAACTGGGGCAGTCAGAAGTCAGGTGACTTGTCTAGGGTCACGTAACCAGTGTACGGCAGAGATAGGTCTTCCTGACGCAAAGGTTGGCTCTCAACCCACTGAACTACGATGCTTCTCTTCAGAGCAAAGATGTTATTTATAAAGACAAAACAAAATCATGCACCTGGAAATAGACAGATAACAGGAGATCAGGGTGGTAGCCACTGGCCGTTCCCAGAAGGGACAGTAAGAATGAATGCTGTAATCTGTAATAATGAATGAGAAATAACAGTCCCCTCTGGACTGTCCTTGTTCCTGGAGGGAAGCAGGAGCACCCCAAAATTAATTCTTTTTGGCTTTGGACAGTGTCATATTTAAAGGACAGCAGATTCGCCTCTTCAGTGATATTTATCTTGAGAAAATATTCTAACAGCAAACATTAAGTGGTCCTCATTTTCACCTGCTCCTATATAAGAGATAGCCCAGGGTAGTGCCACACTTGGATCAGTTTGGGCTGGGCCTTTTTTTGTTTTTTATTTTTTGTAATCACTATGGTCCATGAAAAAGTGGTAGTTGTCATGCTAATGCATCCTAATCATTAAAGTAGCAACCCAGCTCCCCTACTCGTCTCCTCTCCCCCTGCCGCTGCCCCCATCCCTCCTCAGAACTCACCAGTCATATCAGAAGCAAGCTCTGGGTCCCTGCTTCTCCTTTTTCAGTCCTGCCTCAGTCCAGAGGCAGGCTGGCAGTAAGCATCCTGACCCTCTTCCTTCTGCTCCTTTCTAGGCAGTGGCCCAGCTCTCCCAACTCAGGCCTTGTGGAAATTCTGATGTCTGTCTAGCAATTCGGGGGCCTCCACCTCTCAGGCAGCCAGCCCAGAGACCAGTCTGGTCTCAATTCAAATCCTGGCTTTTTACTCATTTCTAGAAGGGAAAGGAGTCCAGGTGCTCTCTGTAGTTTGCCCTGGGGCCTGAGAAAAAGTAGGTTTTCCCTCATTTAGAGGGAAATATAGAGGGGACAGAGAAGAAGGGGGGTAGGTGGGGGTCTTTTTCCAAGCATGGTGTCTGCAAGCTTCTCTAATTTGGACTGATTTGGAAGAAAGCCTGTCTGAATTAGGGAGATGTCTAAAGCATTTGAAGTAATATTATTGTATTATCTTTGAGGCAAAACGTGCCCTCCAACCTGCCTTCCCCAAGATAATGTCTCTAAATAAAATTATCGGTGGAGACCCCAGTCTGCTCCACTTAATAACTCCTAATTATTTCTAATTAGTAGAAGCAGTATATGGTGAAAGGTAAATTGAAGTCACTGGATCTGGGTTCAAATCCTGTCTCTATTTCTTTTTATCTGTGTGACCCTAGACAAGTCACTCCTCTTGTCCTCATTTTCCTTGCTTAGAAACTGAGGGGATTGGAATAGATGACCTTTAAGGTCCCTTCAGTTATATCAGTGATCCACATACCCATATGGGGTTAATAATGCCAGGATTTAATGAAGAAATAAGAATTACTTGCAATCAGTGAAGTGGTCACCACTGAAAGGCCTGAATAATTGCTCACATTTACGTATCTGAATGTTTGTAAAGCATTTTCCTCATGATGACCCTGTGAGCTCAACAGTACAAGGATTATTGCCCCTATTTTACAGATGAGGAAACTGAGGTTCAGAGAAGTCAAACGATGTGCTCAGCTCATGCAGTGAGAGAGAGAGCTGAGAACTCAGATCCCTGACTCCGAGTCCAGTACCCCGACCCCTACACCACATTGCTGAAAAATTGCAAAACCACTCTCTCTTTGAGACTCAAAGCTGGCTGGGCTGCAGAACCCCCTCTATTTATTCTCTCATAATGTCCCTTTAGTGACAGTCACCACAGATGTCCACTACCGGTGTCCTGGAGACAGCACACTGGGAGAGAGGAAAGCTGCCAGCAAGTGGTGAATGGGGGACAGCAGGTCTGGGGGCCGAGGGAGGAACCGTCAGAGGCTACATCCCTACTCTGGCCCTCCGTGAAGACCCATTGGATAGATTGTCTGGACTAACTTCCTTCCTTGGTAACTTCCCCAAGGGAATCTGAAGGAAACTCCCAATTCTCAGGCCTTCTTCCAGAGATGCTATTTAACCAAATACATTAAGAAGGTGAAGCAAGGACTGAAATTTATGCTGGAAAAGGATGCCCCAGATCTGGGGACACAACCCTGCTTCTCTGAATTTTGCAGTAAGCTCCTGCTTCCCCTCTGCTTCATTACCTGCCCCCCACCCCAGAGAAGCCCAGGAATCAATCCATTCTTGTTGTCCCCCAAACCCCCTGTAGCTCTTTCTGGGGAGAAGGGGGTATAGGGAACTGACCTCTTCTCAGTGCACTCAGTTGAAAGACTTCTTGGGACGATGCAGCCCTGTCCAGGTCACTCTAAAAGCACAGAGGCTCCTCAGTGGTCCCTGGAGATGGATGGCCAGTCTCTCCTTCCTGGTGACCTCTTCTTGGGTCTCTGGAGTTTTAGCTGCTCTCGTTCTGCTCTGGCTTGAGCTTTTAATTTACTTTTGTCCCCCTGAGGACAATCCTAAGAAGTGGGATAAAGTGGGCCTCCCCCCACCCCCCTACCCCTCTCTTCTCTCCCAGGGCTGTTGGTCCTGACTTGGGGGGAAGGGAAGAAGAAGAGGGGATGGGCAAGGGGTAGGGATGGCAACTGAGAAGTGGAAAGAAGTTCCCCAGACCAGCCTGGGAGCTCTCAGGGCCCCCAGCCTAGAGGATTGTCATGCTTTCCCTCATTCCCTTGAGGGGAGGTAGTGGCAATGGCAGAGTTAGGGCTGACAGCAGGAATATGGAGGGGAGAAGGCCAGAGTGGAGTGAGAATTAGCCTTTTCTCAGCCCTTCAAGACCTCCCAATGCTCTCACCTTCCCCTGGTGAAAGTTTGAATGGTACAGTCTGACTATTCAGTGCCTGCCAGCCTCCAGGTTACTGAGGGAGTGGGAACCATGGGAAGGCAGAGGGAGGGAGGGAGGGGGAGACTGGAAGTGGGCCCCTTTCCCCAGGGTTGCTGGCTGCTTCTTTGGCCTCCCAGCATCCCGCAGCCCATCTCTTCTCTCTTCCCTGCCCCCCCAACTCTTGTTTGGACATAAACCTTTCCCTGTATTTCTTTCCTTTTCCCCTCCCTCGCCTCCCAGTGGAAGGAGTCATGCAGAATGGTCGGTCCAAGGCAACCGACAGGCAGAGGAGATGGTGTTTGATGGCAATCGTAGTTGATGTCCTTACAATTTGGGTGGCCTGTACCCGAGACCCTCCAGGAAGTAGCCATCCCTCCCCTCCCCCACCCCTTCTCTCCCACTACCCCCCCCCCACACACACCCCATCCCTTCTCCCTGACTCTTCAGCCTCCTTTCCCACAGAAGCCAGAGTATAGCAGCTGCCCCTAGCAACAGCTGGCTGGCTCACAAATGAGACTGAGAGATTCGTCAGTTTTAGCCAAGGATGGAGCCTCCCTAACCAGGAGAGGAAATAACAATAACATCTAAACGTTTATCTGGTACTTTGAAGTTGGCAAAGCATTTTACATAAATTATTTGATCCTCACAGCAACCTTGTGAAGAAGGCACCATTGCTATTTTACAGATGAAGAAACTGAGGTGGAGAGCGGTTAATTGTCTTATGCACACTCATTGAGCTAATGTCTGAGGAAGGATTTGAATTCAGGTCTTCCCTATTTCAAGTCGTATCCTCTTTCCATCATGCCTCACAGCTGTCTTGTTTTACTCAAAAGCTAAATAATGTGAAATATGGCTCCTGGGAATTCCAGAACATGGGGGAGCCTTTAGTCTACCTGCTCTAGTACTTAGAGCTCTGATTCTCCTCCCTCCTCCTCCCTCCCATCCTGGAGTCCCACAAGCCGCACCCTTGGTGCAGCTTCAGTGTGAACGGAGGGCTTCTGGGAGATGTGGCTCTCCAGGGAGTAAGCAGCCCCAGGTTGTGGGGTGGGCGAAGGCGCTGGCTGGGGAGATCAGGTGTCTGTAACTCAGACCTGACCCACTCCCGCACGAGCATGGTTCTCACCTCATTCATCGTTCATATCTCTCCCACATCACCCCCAGCCTTGTTAGTTCCCACTCCCCCCTGTGATACCGCCGTGTGTTATAACTAATTTGGAGGATGTGAATCCTCTTTCTGCCAGCTTACTGACTCTGTGACTTTGGAAATCAAATTCAATAAAAGTTAAGTGCTAAGTCCCCCAGGGCTACAAAGACAGAAGGAAAAAAAAAAACACTGTAGTTTAAGATACTTTAAAAAAACAAAAACAAAAACAACCACAAGAGCTTAAATTCAAATTGGGTGGGGGAGGAGTACAATATATACACCAATATATCTAATGTAAAAGGAAGGAGAGGGGAAGAGACAGTGCTAATAACAGGGAATCAGGAAAGGCCTTGTGTGGGGAGAGGCATCTGAGCTTTAGCTTAGGATTTTAAGAGGTAATTATTGTACTTCTGTGGACCTCAGTTTCCCCATTTATAAAATAAGGTGGACTAATTAATCTCCTAGGTCCCTTCAAGTTCTAAATGTACAATCCTTTGACTTAGGGTGAAGGGATCGGCACCCCAAATTGGATCTGTGAGGTGAGGCAGAAGGGAGAGGCAGTGACAGGCAGAATGAAGTTGCCCCCTAAGGACAAGGAGGTCTTCACTTTTGCCTGGGTCAAGTTTTAGATGGGAGAAATAGCAGATACCCTGAAAGCTCTGTCTGGTAATCAAGCACTGCGGGAATTTTCCCAGCCTATAGTCTTCAGCCTCAGAAGGCTGCATTGCCAGAAAAGTAAGTGGGATTTGTACCCATTTTCAAGGTGGGAATGCGGAAGACAGTGCCTCGTAGTAAAGGAAGGTCTCCAATCAGGGGAGCCCTGCAGTGTATGGCAGAGGCACCAGGTGGAACCACTAGACTGCATTTCCTCCCAGGGCAGAGGAATTGTCCCAATCCTTCCGTTGATTTGCTCAAGGTCTTCAGCTGATGGAACTTCCCACTTCCTCCTTCTCATCCACCAGCCCTTCCTGTTGAGTATTCAAGACTTCCTGGGGAGGCTGAGAGGGAAGGGGAGGGGAAGGGAGTACAGTCAATCAGGGAGCTAGCACACCTCCAGCTCTTGTAGAAACTAGGAGGGCCCCTTGGGGGGAACAGTGAACAATGGGAACCCACCTGAAAAGAGCAGAGGAGACTGTACCCCTGCCCCAGACTCTTCTTCTTCCAGCATTCCCTGGGTCTCTGGAATATTCCCTTATTATCCTAGGGCAGCCACCACTTCAGACCACAAACCCTGATGTCAGATTACTTCCAGGATGGGTAATTTTTTTGGTGTGGGCAATCTCTCCACCAACGATAATCAATAGCCCTCTGTGCCTCACTTGATTTTGTGAATTAATGTGATGGAGGAAAAAAAATCATCACTTCCCTTCAACCAACCTTTGAAGTGATGAACCTCAGATTTTAGCTAGACCAGTTCTTAAAACACAGACATGGTCTTCCATTAAACCCATTTTCCTAGATTTAAACCCCAAAGGGGTCTCATGGACAGATGAAGAAAATAGAGGCCCAAAGATGATGGCAGACCTGAGATTCAAACTCAGTTCTTCTGAATCCAAGTCCAGCCCAGTTCTTTTATACTGATTCCTACTTTAACAATGGGTTCTAAGGTCAGGAGTGTCTTCATACTTGGCATTCAAGAAGGCTGATGACTGACAGTAAGAGAGGAGTAGTTACTCTCACAGAAAATAGATATATACTTTTGGAATGAAAGAGGACTAGAAACCAAGCTCTTCCCCCACCCCCCCATCCCTCCTTAAGGTATCATGTTAGAAGGTGGAGCTCATCAAATCAACCCAAGTACTTATTCTTACAGAGGAGGAAACTGAGTCCCTGGAGAAGGAAAGTGGCTTGTTCACTGTAACAGAGAAAGGTTCATTCAATATATTAGAGATGGACAGCCAGCTTTGAAACCAGGAAGATCTGGGTTCAAAACCCACCTCTGTTAACACCCCATCCTGGCTGTGTAACCCAAGTCAAATCATTTAAAGTCTCTAGGCCAGTCTCTAAGACTACACATTGCAGAGAAGTCACTGACCTCAGAGATGTCCTTACCTGACTTTTCTCTATGATAATGAAATCACAGGTCTAAACCCTATCTCTGTATGACAAGCACTGGATATACAAAGTATAAGTAAACAGACCCTGCCCTCAGGGAATGCACATTCTAAAGGTGAACAAAATCAAATCCATTGAGGTTTGAAAGGGAGAGGACTTCCTAATCACCTTGTATTTAATTTCTGTGGAAATATCCTGAGTTTTCTTGGCAAAGATACTGGAGTGTTTTGCCATTTCCTTCTCCAGCAAACAGGGTTAAGTGATTTGCCCAGGATCACATAACTAGTGTCTGAGGTCTGATTTGAACTGGGTCCTCCTGACAGCTGGGCAGGTTCTATGCACTGCACCACATAGCTTCCCTATTTAGTCTCTATATTTCTTCTCTATTGTTTGTCCTTCATTCTCCATTGGTTAGCAGTTGGTGGTGGTGGTGGCAAGGAAGGGGATCCTCTTCTCCCCAAGAACTGCTCCCCTCAATCATGGCTGCTGTGGCCAGGCTAGAAAGCAGGGCTAATGGTCTAAAGGTCATTGCAAGTCCCAAGACCCTGGGGCTCAGAGTCCTGGGCTACCTCCATCAGGTCTGAGGGGAAAATGGTGGTAAAGAGTGGTTTGACTTTCCTGTCACATGCTGTATCCTGTGTTTCCCTCAGATTGCCTTGAAGCAAGAGTGCAATCTCCCTTTTTTTTCCTGCCTTGTCACCCTGCCTAAAGGGTCCCCTTCTGTGCTGCAAGGCAGCCCATGCTGTTGGCAGGGAATGGGGAGCAGCTCGCTGGGCCAAGGAAGAGGGACATACCCCACTTCTAGACCATGCTAGAACTTGGGTTCCACTAATCCAAGCCCCAGCTGCTAGGAGCTTCCTTTTTCTTCTCTATCTAATCATCATTCCAGCTTGACTACAGCTCCACCCATGGAGTACCATCCTACTGCCAATCTCTTTCTTAGAGTACAGTTTTGTCAGCTGTTCTTTAAGTCTCCAGCACTGGGACAAATTTCTGTGCTTTAAGAAATTTCCCACATGGTTCCCATCATTCACTTGTTACCTACCTTTGTCATAACTCTGAGTCAGAGGACCTGGGTTCAGCTGCTATCTCATTTACTAGCTGTGTGGCTTTTCACCATTCTCAGTTTCCTCATCTGTAAAATGGGAGAAATAACACTTGTTCCTACCAAGGTTGTTGTGAAAAACAAAAGAGATAATATCAAGTGTCTTGTATACCACAAAACATGATATAAGTGTAAGATATTGTTATAAAGACTGTACACCACATTTTGAGAAAGACATTGACAAACTGGAATGTGTCCACAGGAGGGCAATTGAGGTGGCAAGGGGCTTGGAGGCCATATCATTTGGAGGAAATGAGTATGTTTAGCCTAGAGAAGAGACAGGGTAAGATGGCTATCATCAAGTGAGGCAGGATGAGGCTTGCTTTTCTTAGCCCCAGAGGGCAGAACCAGGGACAGCGGAAAAAGGTGCAGAGAGGTATTCAGGTTTGATGTCAGGAAAATCCT